AGGTTCGTGTATTTGTGTATATGTATGCGCTTGTGTATGTGTGTATGTGTGTATCGTACAGTATATGTGTATGTCCGGTACATTGTGTATACATGGGTGGATAGGTGGCTTTCGGGTGGCTGTGGGTAAACGATTACAGGTGGTAATGTATCTTGCACTCGCGCGTACGTGACTGTGTACGTGTTTTTCTTTCTTTATCTACAGTTAAACGAATTCTACGCACTTACTCGTTAATCGGCAGAATAATATGCATTTCTTAATTTCGCTATAAGTATATTTAAACCGTCCGAAAACGTGTCAGTCGGCGCACCGTGACGGATTCGCCATCGCTCTCGTCGAGCCTTCTTCCCTTCCAATTTGTCCTATTCCTTTTTCTCTTTCTTATTTTTAGACGTTTGTTCTTTCTCTATTTTTCCAGTCAACGTAACACAATTCGCGGTGATTCCGTTCTTTGTCCTTTTCGCTATTCTCTCAACGTTGTTCTTCGTCTGCCTTTCTCACGATTCACTATTTCCTGCATCTTCGACTTGTCTCGAAAATGCCACAGTCTCCCCCTCTTCTACAACTTTTAGGTAATCGTCGCTACGTTTATTTTTCAGTCGTTTGATCAAAATTTTTCTACTTAGCACTCGACACGTCGGTCGAAGTCTTCGAAGGAATCGAAGTGATGATTAAAAACTGAATAATCCCTTAAGCAACGCATCCTGGGGCAATATGTATACAGTTGAATGACAATGCGGAAAACGATAAAAACGTAGATGCAACGTGGCTTGAATTTCGTACGCGAATGTACAAAAAGTGCGCTTGATTATGTTTTCGTTCAATGAACGATGATCACGGACCGCGGTGCCGCCACTTGAGGGATTAAGCGTCATGCTAAATTACATTAATGAGAGCGGATTTCGTCACGCGACGTGAACGATACCTTACGGTGAAGAAAACTTATCTAATAAACTCTGTTATTTAAATCTCTATCAGCTACGGTCGTTCTATACGGTCCGCTAATTTGCGCTAAAAATGCGGGACACTTTATAGCTGTAAAGTATCGTCGATGCGCTCTTGGTGCACTGCGAAACTCGAACATAGAGGCATAAAAACTCGTTTACATCACTCGAGAATTGGCGTTCAAGATACGTGCAGAAAGAACGCTATAGTTGAATAATCGGCTCTTCGACCTCTGTTTATCTCACGTTCGATATTAAAACAGGTAGGAAATTCGTACATGTTCATCGGTAAACTTCAACAAACAGTTCTATTTAGTTCGCGATTCCAAGGCTACAGAAATCATTCATCCCGCGATTGAATTAATTATTAAGTTTTCAACAAATAAAATATTTATTCAAACAACATCTCGTTTTAACTTTAATATAATTGCCACTTTCACGAAGATCAATAAAATTGTTCGAATATAATTTATTCAACTATAAAACATCCTCTGCCTAGTCATCGAGAGTTTGTGTAATCTACACGTAGATCAAGTCGTAAAGAATGTTCGAATCACAACTCTCTTACAGAATTTAAAAGATGTTCGTTCCTCATTAATGTTGCGCGATTGATCGTCACATTCTTGTAACAGAGCGAATGATTTTTACGACCCGTACGTAGGAAAGTATTTAAACCGCGGGACCGATGTGATTCCCGTGAAAAAATGATCGTGAACGCGTTAAATGGTCGCTATCGCGCTTCCTTAAATTCTCTAACGATAACAGTGTTATTTCGTCGAAGTCCCGATCGTCTCTTCTCTACGTAGACGTTCGGTTCTACTTTTAATAATAACTAACTAACGATCTAGCGTGTTCATCAACCGGAAATCGTTCGTACAAAAAATGGGCTTAACAGCGAAGTGAAACATGCGGCCATGACAAACGACATCTCTCGAAAAAGGAAAAGCAATTGGTCGTTGATCGTCATCACATTGATACTGAATCCACGAAGTGTCTCTTCACGATCCATTTACTGCTTCGAGCACCGAACCAATGCGGTTTCCATAGTTCCGTTCATCGTCGAGAAACTAGTACCTTATCTTTTTATATTCGGCAATGGAGTTAGTATAAAAATTTGTCTTCGGTTGTTTTTGGGCAACGACACAATTGGAGATTCATAAATGATACTGTGAATGTCTTCTATAGTTCCTAACAACCGAATGAATATTGCAATATTATCACATTTGACTAAGTCTTCCTTNATACCTTACGGTGAAGAAAACTTATCTAATAAACTCTGTTATTTAAATCTCTATCAGCTACGGTCGTTCTATACGGTCCGCTAATTTGCGCTAAAAATGCGGGACACTTTATAGCTGTAAAGTATCGTCGATGCGCTCTTGGTGCACTGCGAAACTCGAACATAGAGGCATAAAAACTCGTTTACATCACTCGAGAATTGGCGTTCAAGATACGTGCAGAAAGAACGCTATAGTTGAATAATCGGCTCTTCGACCTCTGTTTATCTCACGTTCGATATTAAAACAGGTAGGAAATTCGTACATGTTCATCGGTAAACTTCAACAAACAGTTCTATTTAGTTCGCGATTCCAAGGCTACAGAAATCATTCATCCCGCGATTGAATTAATTATTAAGTTTTCAACAAATAAAATATTTATTCAAACAACATCTCGTTTTAACTTTAATATAATTGCCACTTTCACGAAGATCAATAAAATTGTTCGAATATAATTTATTCAACTATAAAACATCCTCTGCCTAGTCATCGAGAGTTTGTGTAATCTACACGTAGATCAAGTCGTAAAGAATGTTCGAATCACAACTCTCTTACAGAATTTAAAAGATGTTCGTTCCTCATTAATGTTGCGCGATTGATCGTCACATTCTTGTAACAGAGCGAATGATTTTTACGACCCGTACGTAGGAAAGTATTTAAACCGCGGGACCGATGTGATTCCCGTGAAAAAATGATCGTGAACGCGTTAAATGGTCGCTATCGCGCTTCCTTAAATTCTCTAACGATAACAGTGTTATTTCGTCGAAGTCCCGATCGTCTCTTCTCTACGTAGACGTTCGGTTCTACTTTTAATAATAACTAACTAACGATCTAGCGTGTTCATCAACCGGAAATCGTTCGTACAAAAAATGGGCTTAACAGCGAAGTGAAACATGCGGCCATGACAAACGACATCTCTCGAAAAAGGAAAAGCAATTGGTCGTTGATCGTCATCACATTGATACTGAATCCACGAAGTGTCTCTTCACGATCCATTTACTGCTTCGAGCACCGAACCAATGCGGTTTCCATAGTTCCGTTCATCGTCGAGAAACTAGTACCTTATCTTTTTATATTCGGCAATGGAGTTAGTATAAAAATTTGTCTTCGGTTGTTTTTGGGCAACGACACAATTGGAGATTCATAAATGATACTGTGAATGTCTTCTATAGTTCCTAACAACCGAATGAATATTGCAATATTATCACATTTGACTAAGTCTTCCTTAATTCTTTATTTTACTATTTTTCCAATCGTTTACTAAATTATTAATGAAATCGCCAATAAAAAGAGTATCGTACAGTTGAAGTTACAAAACATTTTAAAATACTTTAAAAAAAACATTGACGCACTACAATTCAATGAACGAAACAAACATCTTATCGAGCGGATTTTACGGAAATCGGATTGGTGTGTGCTCGATTATTAATATCGTGGCACGGTAAATGACCAGCCAGCATAATCTGGTCGACGAAAGCGAGGAAAGCCGGTAACGGTGCGTAAAAAACGCTTCGAGAGGCTTCACCGCGGCGATGGATTATTATTTAGTTAAGAAGTACGTGTTTACGTATAAAGAGACGCGCCATACAGTGCCGTACAGTACCAAAACGTTCATAATGCGCACATAATGTTACCTCGATTTAACTTCTATCTACGCGCTCGCGCAGGCATCAGTGTATGTAAAAGTGATCCATTTTAGTCGTATTTCGTTTTAGTTTCACTGCAGGTATGTGTATATCGTGTGTATGTATCCGTGTGCCTGTGTTTTCTCTCTCCTCATATTCTTCATTTTTTATTATTATTTCCACGTGTTGCGTCCGTGAGCTGGTCAAGTCGGTCCAGGGACAAAAGTTTCGGTTTTCATTTTTATTTTATTTATAATATATATAGGTGTCTCTTTTTTTGCCTAACACTTCTTTTTATATCTTCATTCTCGCTGTTTCACTTCATCTTCTTTTTTAATTCTTAGATCTTCTCTTTAAGCACAGGAACCGTCGAATCTTGATCATGCTGTCAGAGCGTGCTCGTCTTTCACTCTTTTAAATATGTACATATATATTGAATATATATATATATATATATGCGTGTGTGTGTTTATACATTTATAAAATCTAGACTATAGCTCAGAGGGAACTATGCGAACCACTAACACGAAGATGAACGACGCGGCGCGATGCGACAAGCCAGACATCACGTCGATGCTCTTTCGCACGGCTGTTTTCCACCGTTTCCTTTTCTTCTTATTTCTTTTTATTCTTTATTTTTTGTTTTACTTCAATTTCTAATTTGCACTGCAAATTATCCTTGAAATCCAACGCGATGTCTGGCTTCGTACGTCGCCACGCTGCGTCGGTATCCCCTTCGTCGACACTATTTCGTTCGGGCTATTCTTCACCTTTTGCATCGTTTCCGTTTTATTTGAAATTATATTTGGTTTTTTATGTCCGCGAGCGACGACCCGACCAACATACTTTTTCATACACACCGGTCCCCAATATAGATATAGTGTATATATATCATTGTATACGTTGTCCGCGGACCGTCTTGGCGCAGCCCTCATTTATATAACCACATTTCTTTACTTTATTTTAATTAATACAATATATATACTTCTTTATGTATGTATCATCGTAACAACCGATATTTTTCAGTACTCTCTCTCGTTAATTCTATTATCACGCAGCTATTATCTTTCGCTCTCGCTCGCTCCTTTCTCGTGTTTCCGTTTCCTTAACTTTTCTAAATTCCCTGACATCACTTTTCTCATACTCGCAGGCATTCCGTCTCTCGCACGCATTTATTTTATCGCATTTACACGCACGCAACTGTTTCGCACGCTTTCTCTCTTTCACTCACCGCATCTCTCTCTCTCTCTCTATATATATATATATAATATACTTTATATCTGTGTATATATATATACGTATATACATACATACATAAGTGCATATATACATACATATATATACTTCTATATATTTTTCATATATACTTTATGTTGCTTTTTATGTATAGTTTATATATAACAACGTTATGTTTATTTAAGGCCCAATACGTTCATTACGAAGGAAATAATCTGCAACAGAAAGGAGATGAATATACGGTTAAACGCTTGTACCTCTTTTGCTCCCTGTCGTAAGCACCGCGAGTATAGAACTATTCAGTCGATAGAGACGAGTCCAAGTGGTTTCTTTTTATTTCCTTTATTTCATGAATTCGTGTATGTGTGTGTGTATGTGTTTGTGTATTCCTTCTTTCTCTCCTGTTGATCGCGCCGACTCCGATCGAGGCTAATAGAACGCAAGTAGATGTGGACTTGTATGGTCAGACAAGTTAATTCTCCACGATTAAAGTTCTCCTTACGGAGTTGCACAATTTTTAATAATATTTGTTCTAATAGACTGTTTCGTACGTTTTAATTATAAAAACCATGAATTTGCAGAGAGTCTTGAAACGAAGTGATGAGTTAATACGATTCTTTGACTACTCTTTCATCTAATATCGTTACATACACTTAATCACTTTTCTTATATTTCAAAACAAAATTATTTTTCATATCTCTTTCATTTGTTTCGAATTATTTTTTACGGTATTTATTTTAGCCACTTCTTATGATCATCTATTATCGTTCTTATTGCCTCGACACGACCTATGTTTCTTCATTACGCATTTCATTCCACGATCCTTTTTTCAATTTTACACTCTATCGTGTCTCGTCGCTCCCTAGGAAGAATCGCTATAGATCAGAAACAAGTAACTCTCGATTCGCACGCGCAGTAAACTTAAAATTCGACATTTCACGATGCGCGAATCGATCGCAAGCCTACCGAGTTCCCAGAAGCCCATACGAACAACCAATAGAATAAATTAGAAAAGACACAGTGAACATTTCCATTATCTTTTATACAATATGTACAATATACGATGAACACAATTTCTGTGTCGTATCACGATTACGCACGTCAGGAGCGAAAATCATAAAACAACAGCCAATCGCTATTCTCATTTCGATCGGAATCAGTAGGTGAAACGATTAATTAAATTATGCTTGGACGCGAATGACAAAATGATCCTTACGTAATAATACACAAATTTCCACAGGTTAGAAAAAGCACATCATGTAACAATTAAGTCGCTTATAATACTTTATTATTTGTTACAAAATCATCCTAAAATTGGGACGTTTAAAACGTGTATAAGTGAAAATTTATTTGCTTTACAATAATAACATGTCGATTTGTATAATAACAGCTAATAAAATGTACCATTTTAACGTTCCGTACGTATGAGAACTTAATAAGCTGAGAATAAGTTAGTTTATGTATGTATACTACGTCGAGAAGAAACCGAAACGCGCGTGGTCAAGGAAACGCGTTTGAAAACCCGGTAGACTCTGTTCGTTCGCGTTTCCGTCACTCTGAACTCGTACAAATTTTATCTTCCATCGCGGAAAAAAGGAACCCTGTATTTTCCTTTCAGAAACACCAAGGTAACTTTTACTTAACGAGTAAGATTAATTAATATTTTGCAGAACGTAAAGAAAGAAAGGAGAGAACTTAATTCGAATTATTCTACAGAATAGTTTGTACACACTGGAAGAAGGAAAAGTCGGAAGCTCTCAAAAGAAAGAAAAACAAAACAAAAAAAATTATGTAATAAAATTAAAAAAATATTAATAGTTGTGATATTAATAATAATGATAGTAACAGTAATAATAATTGTAATATAATAATGATCATAATAGCAGTACGTAGTTTCTGACCGAAAAAATACAAGTTGCGTGCTCCTTTCTTTTCCTCTTTATAACAGCGAACTCTAAAAGGTAAAGAAAATGAACGACGGAATTTATCGCAAATTAACCGCAGTTACTTGTTCCCGGTCGAGTTGGTGACGTTTTAAAAGCCGAGTCCGTTTGCACATGATTCATGATACAAAACGTGATGAAAACCCAAACGTGATAATCGATTGTCTGGGCAATCGTGAAATCGTATTTACGCAGATCTTACAGATAGGAGGTGAGTAGAGACGTTCCGTTATCTCGATTACGAAATGGACCTGCTCTATCGTTACACAGTGTCATAAATAGGGGCGAAATCAAAGAGAAATCTATGTACAATACGTAATTTAACAACCATTTGTTCCGTTTTGAATCGTATGCATTTACGTTCGCGACATCATGTCGAATTTAAATGATGATTTTAATTGTTGTTAAATCGAAGGGCTTATAAGAACGTCGTGCAAGCGACGAACGAAGCACAGAACTCATCCCCCACCCAATTGTTTGAGTTGAAACGTAAAATTTTTGTACTTAAGCGTATAACGATGTGTCTGATCGTTTCGTCACATTACAGAAAAAAAATACTAGTTACTCTACTAGATCTGGAATTAAATACAACGAAGTTCTTCATAAATTAAATGTTATCTAACTAAAAGCTTTCGTTTCCTTTTTTTCTTCCTCGAACGCTTCCCGTTTAAAACTACGAAAGTAAGTGTAAGCATTAACTTGGTACGATTAAAAAAACGAGGAAACCGTTTTCTACTCCTGCCCTCCGAAGCGATTCATCTTTTGGAGGTTGTGCGCTTTTCTCGAACGAACGAGGAGAAAAAAGTCGAAAATCGGAGAGAATGTAAAGAACAACAAGCGATAGCCTCTCATCGTTACTCGCACCATTCTCTGAACCCTTCGACGCACACCGCGCGAATACGCGACGATCGACCCTAACAAGAACGCGTCTCCGGCTTATCAGAGCGACACTTCCTAGACAGCGGCAACGCGCGACCTCGCAACAACTCATCGTCGTCGTCGTCATCGTCGATACGCGTCGCCTTCTCCGCCGTTTTCACCCAGCTTTCTCATTCCGTTCTTTTCTTTCATTTTTTTTTTTTTCCGGACGGTGGAACTCACCTTGACAGAGCAAGGCCCGGCGCTACTCGCGTACCGCTTTGTTCGTCAGCGTCGGGACGCCCTGCGCCGCGTCGATCGTTCAGCTGTCGACACTGAAAAGCTCTTTATGGAGGGCCGGGAACTCGAGGAGCGGCTGCGACCGTTTGAACTTCGCCAGAGCATCCATGTGCAGCTGTGAGATCTCCCTTAACTGGGGTATCTTCGCGAGGATCGCGTCGCACACCGTCACATCGCCCTTTATGGGCGACACATGGTTGCGATCCAACTCCGACCTGAGCGCCTTGATCACTGCCTGTGACAGTCTCTCGATTTCCGGGAGCCCTTTCAGTCCCGACCGATCTGAAATTATTTTTGGACCTATTTATTTCTGGGTAATCTCCTCTCTTGGTGTCTCTATCAGGCCGCGGGGATATTTACCGGGATTCGTTTCATTCCTATCGCGGAGTTGTCTACGGAACAAGAAGGGATAGAAAGGAGTGGGAGAACGAGATACTTTTATCGAACGAGTATTTATAATCGGCGATTAATTATAAGGGACTTGGTGACGAAACGGGACTTCGAGAAAATAGAAAAGTTCTTGGATAATCTCGGCATCAAGGGACGAGATGAACCCGGAAGACTTGATGTTACAATATTACAAAATTATAAATACGGTTTATGCAAAATAAGTTATCAGTCTTTAACCAATTTGGATAATGGAATTACTTCCACCTCTTGTGTATTGGACGGTTTTTGCTAATTTCTTAAACCATTTTAATTCAACTTTGCACATTGGAACTTTGTGGTAAATTAACCGCGATAATTTCATTTCTTTTCTCTCTGAAGCTATTGAATTAATTATCGTTAGTGACACTTGAATGCGAAATAAATGAATTCTTTTGATTTCAAGGGATCAGAAAATCAAAGGTTCTAATTGTATTTAATTTGCCTAACAAGATACTACTTGGCGGCTCTTATTCATATAATGCTGTTTCAAACGAGTATTTCATACAAAGATATCTAAGAAGTAATTCCGAGCAAGAGCCGTTTAACTATGAATGACACTGTTTTTTGAATATTATTCGATCGAAAGAAGTAATCATGAAGAATTAAGAACATTACTAACCGGGGCTAAGAAGAACCGCTGCGCTGTAAAGAGCCAGTTCTGTTTCCGTAAGCTTCAATTCGGCAATACTCCTGGCCATCTCAAACACGCAAGAGACGAGCTTCATTTCTGCCGTGTCCGTCGTGTAAAACGCATCCTGTGGTAACATAGTGTCACCATAGAGGACACAGTTCTGCTGGAGATCGAGGTACCTGCTCATACGTAGCACAGCCAACTCGAAGGAACCTGTACATCATGAACAATTGTATACCTCGTACACGGAACCCGCTAACAACATACATTTGACAATTAAACTGTATTTCCATTTACTTAGTACTAGAAATATCAACATATTCCGATCACTCACCAGCCTTTAATAGAACAATCTGGTCGTCCTGCGAGAGTTTCATGAATCCAGGAACCATCTTAGCGAATTCGATGATCTGCTGGATGACGGTGGTTAGTTTTTGAGCACATTCTTGCCAAAGCTGCTCGTGCGCCATGTTCTTGTAGTAGATCAGTCTGGAGAGGTCGTGCGGCCTCCGGAAAGACTCCTGGATCTGTTCCGTCGACAGCAAACACGTTCTCGCGTGTGCATCCGCTATCGTTTTTGAAAGCAGCTCGCTGATCTGTGCCGGATCTACGAAAATCCACCAGGACGTCGCGTTGAAATGATATTCTTCGATGAACGGCATCGATAAAAATATCCAAAACCAATAATACACCACTTATCGAAAGAACATCATTAATTAACAAATACGACAACGAGAAAAGTTGTGACATAACACCGAATATTTCAACATGTACAGCGCGAATTGACGTAAATACAGATAAGCGATAGATTGTTAAAAGAAAAAACAGGACACTGTAGTTCCATAGTTGATTGCTCGTTACTGCGATTTTTATAATAACTTCTGCTATTTCTTGCACCGCCAACGATTCGGAACGGGAGAGCACGTTTTCCGGGTTAAGATCACGCGAGCCAACGTGGACCACTGAAACCCATTCGTCGAGCTCGTTGTAAATTTCTATAATTACTGCAGTTTCAAACTGTATTATCGCTACCGGAGCCATTTCATTTCGGCTTTCAAGTCGGGGAACTTTAAACGATCCCCGCTTCGTCGCGACGAATCGCTGCCGAGAAATTCAACCCTTTCATTCAATCCCTCTTCAGCAACTTGAATCAACTACTCCACCCGCCGACCACTCTTTACCCTTCTCCGTTGTTCGTAACTTTAGGAACACTGATCAAATACATCCTGCTACTTACTTTGCGTAGATTTCTCAGAGTGCTTCTATAGAATGGATGTGTCTAATATCTCGTAATTAGACGTGTGAAACTTAAAAATTGAATTATAATACACAAAATTTATCTCAATTTTCGTACATGTTTTTAATTCAAAATTCTACGATGATCTGTACTATTCCCTTCATCATTCATAAATAATTATTTACGAATACGCCCTAATCTTATGTTAACCATTTTTATATGCACGTACAATACGACGTGCTCTCCCTATGAGATAATGAAAAACGTCGATCAGTTGCTTCACGCAGCTATCATTTAAAAAAAAATAAAAAAAAACCAAAACGAAAAGAAAAAGCGCATGCCCATGCAAAGGGACACAAACGTAACCTCACATCTCGCATGGGACATACTGGGCAGACTCGGCACTTCGTCGTCCTCGGATGGATTGCTGACCCTCTGTTGCTGACCGCTCAGAAAGGTCGTCGAGTCGACCATCGTGTACGAGCCGTGGCCTAAGCTGGCCAGTTCGACGGTGGTCTCTTGCTTCACAGCAACGATTCCACCCCCGCTCAAGGAACCGGCACCGCCACCGCCACCGGCGGCCGCGCCGCTCCCAGTGCCAGAACCGCTTCCTCCACCACCCGAGCCGCCGCCACCGGATCCACCACCGTTACCACCGCCACCACCGCCACCGCCGCTACTACCTCCACCACTACCCCCCGTACTGCTTCCGGTCGTCGAGGCAGACAGCGACTTTCCTAGGTACGCGAAAAGTCAAAGTTCACTCGATCCCCGTACCACTGCCTCTGCGCTTCCCTGCACTATATTCGTTTCGCTTTTCGTTTTTTTCGTTACATATTCTCTTATACTTTTTTGCAATACTCGCTAGTTCTTTCGTCTCCGAGCAACAAGAAAATTCCCGTTTCCCACACTTTAGATATATGTACGGACCTAAATCCTCGAGTTCTCGGTCGTGCGAAAGCTTGGTTTAGAGTTTGGGGTTTGTTGGTTTGTCGGTTCGGTCGGAATGACACGGGATTTGTTGGAGGATTTGAACACGGAACAGATGGATAAGGCTTTCGGTGGATGGAATCTGGCATCGCACGATCGATGCAGTTTTACGACGTGGCCGTCCAGTGTGTATATCGTTGTTTTCTTTTAACATATGTTAGTGGATATTAAGTACGACGACTGTCGTACAGAATAGAGCAGTACATGTTAGCGACAAAATTTAAGACAGTTTATCACTAGACGA